ACAGTGGGGGGCCCAGGGCGCGCGGCCCCCTCGGTGTGGCAGGGACCGTGCGGGAATCGCCTGCGCTGCCGTTGGGAACAGATACGGTCTCCATAACAGCACCTGGCGTTGCACTTCTAACAAGTTCATGGAAACACTGGGTAATTACCCCTGAACCTCTCCACCAATAAGTCCTAATTAATTGCCTCTGCCAAGCAGGTAAATGATAATCGCCTTGGTTTGAGAGCTAGCTAGTGGCAGTGATCCTGTGCTGTAGAAGCACACCTTTCTGAGCCACCACTGCACGTTGACAGTCAGCCCTTCAGCTGCAGAGCCACTTTATTAAATGGCAGTAAATCAAAGGTCAGTGCAAATGGCAAGGCACCCCCCCGCACCATGCAAGGGTGCCTTCCTGCCTGCACGTCCTGCAGGCTGGGAGCTCACCAAAATTTCTGCACCGATTACAGAGGAGGCTCAGATCTGCTCAGTTTGCCCTAGACCCATTTTCTGCCACCAAGACATAAGCAGAATTTGAAGACTTGCAGTAGTTCAAGATTTCTGGCATCTGGCTGCCTAGCTGGGGCACTGCTCTGCTCCCCCCAGCCTGGCTGTGCAGATCGAGCATGCAGAGATGTGCAGTCGTCCTGGTGGGTCCCAGAAGTGCTGGGCCTTCTACACCGGGCACAGTGCAGATACTAAATCCGATTCTCACTGGAAATTTAGGTTTGCTTTGAACATGTCACATGGTGCCTACACACCAGGATGTCCTAGGCAGAAGTGTAATTATGGGTGCTCTGGCAGTGGGAGACAAACAAAAGTGCAGTCTGTGTCCTGCCAGCAGTATGCAGACACGAGTGTGCATGCTGGAGACTGAAGGGGGATACCTGCCAGGCCCGTGACGACAGGATGCTTGATCTCACCTGGAGGTCAGGCAAGCAATATGCCTGAGTGGGAGGAGAAGGGTTATTCCAGTTTTGCAGCATAAACTTTTATTCCCTGGGACATGTTACTGATTGCTTCTCTCTTTGTCTCTCTAGTGAGGATGCAGCAGAGACAATAGCAATAGACTCTAACAGTCAGCCGAAGTCTCCACTGGAAAAGTTTATGGTCAGACTGTGTACACATCACCAGAAGCAATTCATTCGTGTGCTAAACGACATATACACTGAAGTACAACCAGACTCTGAAGGCCAGCAGTTGGCTGAATCCGAGAGCATGGAGGCCTCTACTTGTGGCTCTGGTTGTAGCCAGCGAAGCACTGAAAGTCAGGATAAGGGTGCTAATTGTACTGAATCAAAGCCCCCTTATTCCTCGGACCCAGGACAGTCGGGGTCCGATGGCCCCCTGCATGTTACAGGACAAACCCCGAAGCAGCCGGTGGAGCTGAAGTCTCTGGACAGAGCAGAGAGCTCCAGTCCTGCTTTGAGAAGGGACTTCTCTGAGCTCCCCGTCACCAGGCTTCGTTCTGCTAGTCCAAAGGATAGCTCCACCCAAGGATACCTCAGCACGTTGAACTCTTCCTCTTTGACTTTCCATCATGCCACAAAGAGCCTGGAAGGGCAGCAAGCTGCTGGACACGAGCAAGAAGCCGGTGTCAGAAAGTGTGAGGACAATAAAGAACAGCTAGCAGGTAAGACTCTCGTGGAAGGTTATATCTCGGTCAAAGTGGCAAACGTGAATGGCAGCGAGGACAGCTTAGACGGCTGTCTGGGGTCCCAAAAGAGCTCTTTCAGAGCTCTGCCGGAAGAGTCCTGGGATCCCGGCTTTGCGGTGACCCCGCCTCGCAGAGCCGACAAAGAGAACACTTTGCAATGCAGCTCAAAAGCATCTTTGCACCAGGACTTAGACGCAAAAGAACAAGATGCGAGACCAAAGCAAGAAAACCACCTGCACGCCGTGGCCAAGGGCAAGGCAGGCTGCCACCTGCACCCGGCCGACAAGGGCCCGCTCGACAAGTCCAAAGAAGGCTGGCTGCGCCAT